AACAGCAGCCCTATAAACTGAGGGAACAGTGGGCGGGTTATGGGTATGCCGTATTGATACAAGATGTATGAGGCTGAGGAGAGAAGACAGCAGACCAGAGAGAGAAGAAGAAAGCCAGCCAGGGCATGTAAGACTAGGGCAACATGGTCCTATGAATGTCTTGGATGTGTCCCAGGACAGTTGCCCAGTGGGGGCACAACAAGATGTACAATGCCTGGATACAACATCAGTACCCGCATAGTGTGGCTGAGGCATGTTAGTATTAACTTGCAATGTTCCTACAATTGCCTTCCATAGAAACCATGCATGGTGGATGCATCGTAAAGTCCTATAAATCAAGTGGTTAGCAACCCATCCACAGTGGACACAAGATGGTAACGGCCAATAAACTTGTAGTTAGCAAACCATGCATGGTGGACACATGGTAAATTTGATAAATCTCGTGGTTAGGTCCTGATTACTGTAACTGTTTCAGTTGGTTGCATGGTGGGGGGGGGGGGATGTAGGTCTGTCTGCCTGCCTGCTGTCTCTGTTCTCTGCCCCACTGTCCTTGGGGTGCCCTCCCTGCTTGCTTCTCCCCAAATGTAACTTTTTCAGTTGGTTGCATGGTGGTGGGGAGGGGGCAGAGGAAGAGGTGGCGGGTGCAGGTCTGGATCTGCCTGCCTGCCTTCTGCCTCTGTTCTCTGCCCCACTGGCCGTGGGGTCCCTTCTCTGCTTGCTTTTCCCCAAATGTAACTGTGTCACTTGGTTCCATGGGTTTACAAAGCTGAAGAGTGCTTACTGCTTCTTGAAAATTGTTTACTTTGAAAATTCTGTAATGATTGTGTTGGTATTTATGTAAGTTAGGGTGAAGAAATCGGTAAAGGTTAATTGTGTAAAAGAGAACTATCTGTCTCCTTTTCTTTCAGTGTGTCTGCTATCCTCACTTGCAAATAAATAAGTGCTTGAAACAGCAGGGAAGGCTGTTTAACTAATACTGGAAAACCCAGTGAGTCCCCAAATGGCAACAGCATGGCATATGCTGGGGGGTCAGGGGTAAAGCAAGGGGGATTAAGATTCCTTGGAGCTCTGGGCCTGGGGCCTCCCTCCTATGGCCTGGGGTTCCCTCAAACAATGCCCTGCTCCACAGCTGTGAGCTCTATTCCTGACCAGCACTATAGGAGCTGTAGCTAGAGCAGGACACACTGCCCCCTGGGCCTGAGGTATACTAAGAAGCCTCTTTGCCTACACTCCCCTTCAGTGCATCTCTCTTTTCTTCTTTTCTCTTTCTATCTTTTTTTTCTTCCTCGTGTTCCCCTCTTCGTCTCCTTCCATTATAAGAATAAAAGTGATGAAATTGTATTTTAATAGGTATTTTATAAGATATGAAATTGTATAGGTATTGTATAGGATACTATGTTCTGTACATTGTGTTATTCTGCATCTTTCTCACATTTTGCCATGGCATTATATTTTATACTTTTAAACTTTTAATGAATGTATTTCTCTTTTAGAGTAAGTCTTACCTTGTACTATTAGAATTGCTGATTGCATTGCAACTGTAATTACCAGAATTGTATTGCCACCTCTCTCTGTATTAGGCTGGTTTCCTGACTGAATGAGAGTAAGTCTGACTGAATGGGTGATTGAATAATAGGTATAATCAGTTGTGGTTACAAGTTAACAAGCAGCAATTAACAGCTCCTAGGGGCAAGTTGACAAGAGGAAAGTATCAACACCAGTGCCTGGAAGTCTATATTACATGCAACAGTGTATCCATTTAAACTAATAAAAGCTGTTCCTGGAATTGAGCACCTACCCTATTGACTATTCCTGTAATCTATAACAATACTACTGTTAAATCAATCAAATTCAAGGACTGACTCCTGAAACTGCACATGGAGACCTGTTATGAAACATTCATCAAGGAATGCCACATGAGGGTTAGCAACCTCTGGATTGGGCAAGCTGGAAGACTGGGGGGATCACAAAAGTCTGCCAGAGAGGGATAAAAGGCAATGAAGCATGACCCCAGTGGTACTCTCTTTCTTCCTCAACCCAAACAGCACCTGACTTACCAACCAGAAGGACAAGCCAGCGACCTCCTTCTGGAGAAGACATCATCTTGGAGAAAGCTTTGACTGGCCATTGATAGCAGATGTCAGTGCTTTGGATAGGGATAAACTGACATCGGTGCTCCACTATTCCTGCAGCAGTTGTATATATATGTCAGTGCACATTAAGGTGACCAGTACCCCTCATGACTAACTCGACGTTCTGTACAATAAATTACAATGAATGATCCCATGAGTTGGTCCTTTGTAGCCAACAGAGGCAGGAGTTGTGGCTGCCTCGGCCTGCAAGTCCATGCTGGAGCCAGCACTGGGAGTGCAGAGTCGTTGCCTGCCAGGGACATGCAGCATGGACCAAGCTCCAGGGCAACCCCTTGCCCAGCCACAGCTCAGTCCAGCTGCAGCAGCACCCAGCAAACTGCGCCCAGCAGCCACGACCTGCTGTGTCATGTATGCCTGGCCTGGCCACTGGTTTTGTGTGCACCAAGGCTGGGACCTGAGCCCAGTTGGCTTGTTCGTTAATCCACCTATTGGGGGGGGTTGGGAGTGATGGGCACTTCCAGGCCTAGGGGTGCCATCGCAAGTTAGGGCCAACAGGATGGGGTGAGACTGTGCAATTGTGACCAGTGTGGCAGTGCAAGGGATCCTGGTGGGTACAGACTGGCTGCACTCAGGGCTAGGAGTGGGCAAAGTGCTAGGAGTGGGCAAGCTCCAGCTGCAGCTGCTATCTCACCTGCTGCCATGGGTCTCAATGGGTGGTTGGGTGACCTTGTTCAGTCATGAATGGTTAAGCAGCCAGTACAAAACCGTGGGTAGGAACCAAAAAACTGGGGTAGGAACCACAAAACCGGGGCCCCGTTTACGGGGAGACCATTTAAGCACAACACCGGGGGTAGGAACCAAAAAACAGGTGTAGGAACCACAATACTGGGGCCCCATTACGGGGGGGGACCCATTTAAGCACAACACCGGGGGGTAGAAACCAAAAAACAGGGGTAGGAACCAAAAAACTGGGGCCCCGTTTCTGGGGGGACCCATTTA